CAGCCCCTTCCCCAATTTTCCAAACACCCCCTCCCCAAGCTGTGATGGCAACTACCAGGGGCACCATGAGGTGCAGGGAAAGTGGGGGAGCATGAAGATTGGCCCCAGCTCACCTTCTCAATCTCAGGCACGGTCCTTGAGCAGTAGATGAGTTTAGTCACCTCCAGTGGGTATGCCTGTCGATGACAATGGGCTCAGCCCGTCTGGCCCCTTACCCTCTTCCCCTTCCACAGGCCCAATGGGTCACTTACCCGCTGGTATGCCATGATCAGGGCCAACAGGGACACTGTCTTTCCAGTGCCTGAGGGCATCTCTAGGACTCCATGACCCTGTGTATTGGGAGTGAGAGGAACAAGACACAGGCTCTCAGAATTCAGGGGCACAAACTCTGGGGACACCCCCTCCAGAATGCGACCATCTTGGAATGGAAGGACAACACAGCAATTGAAGCCTGGGCCCCAGGAGCAGTGGATTTGAACCCCACTTCTGCCACCTCTTTGTTGAGTGGTCTTTGGCAAGTGCCTTCATCTCTCTCGCCTCAGTATCCTCATCTCGAAAATGGTCCAAATGCCTGGCCAGCATGGCTCAGTGGTTGAGTGTCAACCTATGAACCAGGAGGTCACGATTTGATTCCCGGTCAGGGCACATGCCGGGCAGGGTTGCAGGCTCGATCCCCAGTAGGGAGCGTGCAGGAGGCAGCCAGTCAATGAGGCTCTCTCATCATTGATGCTTCTCTCTCTCCCTCTCCCTTCCTCTCTCTGAAATCAATAAAAAAATTTTTTTTTAAAAAAAGAAAGAATACTCTTTCTTAAAAAAAAAAAAAAGAGAGAAAACATAAAAATAAAACGGTCCTAATAAGCTCTAATGATAAAGTGCAAGTTAAATATTTAGCATAGTATCTGAATATAGTGAGTCCTTTTTCTTTAATTTTTAAAAAATATATATTTTTAGCCCAGCCAGGCTAAATGGCTCAGCAGTTGAGCATTGACCTAGGGCCCAGGAGATCGCGGTTTGATTCCCGGTGCCCTACATGCCAGGGTTGCGGGTTCAACCCCCACTGGGGGACGTGCAGGAGGCAGCAGATCAATGATTCTCTCTCATCATTGATGTTTCTATCTCCCTCTCTCTCCCTCTTTCTGAAATCAATAAAGATATAAAAAAATGTTTTTATTGATTTTAGAGAGAAAGGAAGGCACAGGGAGAGAAACACAGAAGGGCTGCCTCCTGCACACCCCCTACTGGGGCCTGAGTCTGCACCCCAGCACCTGCCCTGACAGGAAATCAAACCATTGACCTCTCAGTGCACCCGGATGACACCCAACCAACTGAGCCACACCAGCCAGAGCAGCCCTTTTCTTCTAATTTAGCAACCCCTTCCACAGCAGACACTCTGTGCCTGGCAGCATCCCTAAATGTCTTACAGCAGGGTTTGTCAGCTTTGGCTCTATTGACTTTTGGGGACAGGATAATACTTGGTCGTGGAGGGCTGTCCTTCGCACTGCAAGGTGTTTAGCAGCATCGGTGGCCTCTACCTGCTACTTGCCAGTAGCACCCCCACTCCACCTGTATGCCAACCAGGGAAGTCTCCAGACATTGCCAGGTGTCCCCTGGGGGTCAAAATAATTCTCAGTTGAGAACCACTACCTTACTTAGCGAATTAACTCATGTAACGGTCGCATCAACCTCTGAGGCAGGGGCTATCACACCCATTTCGCAGAGCTGAGAACTACGGAACAGGGAGGTGAAGTGACTTACCCAGGGGATCCAGGATTCCAACTCAGGTAGCCCACCCCAAATTCTACCTATTCCTAACCACGGAGCAGCTGGGCCTTTGACAAATGTCAGCTGCTATTCTTAACTATCGTTATTTTAGATAGCAGGGGTTTTGAGGGCGGTGGCTTCCCCAGGACCTCGGGGTTTTAGCCGCCCGCGAGGCAGCCCCTCGGCCAGGTGGGCAGCGGGGCCGGGACCCACGCACCTTGGCGTCCAGCGTGCGCTTGAGCTCCAGCATGTAGGAGAACTGCTCCGGGTAGATGTAGTCGTACGGGAAGTAGACCAGCAGCCCGTCCACGTTGAGCCTGGCGGCGGGGCGGGGCGGTCAGTCCCGCGTCCCCTCAGCCCCTCTCCAGCCCCTACACNGCCGTCGGGCCGAGAGAGGCTACCCGCCGGGCCCGGCCGCCGGATCTCCCCGAGCCCCCCAGGAGCCTCCGGACCCCCTCGGCATCGCCTCGCTGCCCATCCCCGTCACCGGCCCGTAGGTCCCTGCAGCTATCCCCACCCCACCCCTTCCTTCAGTCGCCCTTCGCCCCATAGGGGTCCTGAGCGCGCCCACTGGTCCCCCCATCTCTCAGGACCCCGCGCCCACTAGCGAGCCGCCAACCCCGGCCCCCTTCTTACTTCATGGCGCCGGTCGCGGCTGGAAGAGGAGTCAACCCGCCCCCCCTCATGAATATTCAGTGCGGCTGGATCCGCGGGGCGTCCTCGAGGCGCCGCTCCACCTTCCTCACAACGCCATTGGCCAATCCTGCCCGTCACTCCGCTGGGGTGGAGCCAATCGGGATAACGCGCGTGCGCATGGCAATGCGAGGGCGGGCTCCCGGGAGAGGCTGTGCCAGAGGCATCGCTGAGGATCACCGAGGACCTAGAACAAAGCATGGGAGGAAGAGAACCGAGAGAATCGATCCCATTCATTAGAATTCGGTCTCCCCGCTTGTGCCCAGATTATCTGACAAGCGGAGAGAGTCTAGGGGAAATGACAGGGAAACTGGGTCCCCTTCAGTTAGGAATGGCTTCACCGTACCAGACAAACATACTCTTATAAAATACTTGATGTGTCCTAAACTTCTCTGGGATAAATAACTCCTCTCACTTATTGAGCTCCTACTGTTTGCCAGACACTGTCTTAGGCAAGCAATAATAAAAAGGCACTGTGGCCTGGTGGTTAAATTGTGGACTCTGGAACAAGAATGTCTGGGTCCAAATCAGGGCTCCACTGTCTACTACCTGTGTTGATCTTGCTCAAATTACTTAACTTCTCTGGTGTTGCATTTTCTTATGTGCGAAGTAGGAAAAATTAGGTTATCTACAGTGTAACTCACATTAAGCAGTTAAAACTGGGTTTAGCACATACTAAGCATTCAATAAATGTGTTTGTTTCAGAAATAGCTATGGGGCATCTACTGTGTGCCTGACTGGTACTAGGCCCTGGGTTACCACTTCCTTCATAATCCCCTCTCATTCATTCATTCATTCATTCATTCACTCATCATAGATTCCCTGAGCCCCTGCTCACTGTACTGGTGTTGAAAGGCACATAACAGTGACCGACTGCGACAACCCAGCCATGGCCTCTGGGGGCTCAGATTCCAGTGGGGAAGATTGACTCATTCCTAGACAGTGAGGACCCAGGGTGTGCAGGGCTGCGAAGAGGGTGGGATGGGGAGCAGCACCTGACCTAGCTGTAAAGCCTTGGCAAGTTTTTCTCTGAGACTCAGTTTCCTCACCTCTAAAATGGAGATAATAATATTTAAGTCAACAAGTGACATTTATTATACAGTCATACAAATGAGAATATAATTCCAAAGTTTGACAAAGGCTCTGAAAATAGGTCCTAGGGAGCTGGAACTCATAACAGTGGTGATGGTGGGGGCGGGCATTGAGCCAGTTAATGAGGTAACCGACTTGACCCTGAGCCTTAACTGAAGGAACGCTCGGTGGGAACAGCTACGCACACAGATGCTCCTTGCAGTACAATGTACAGGAGAACAAACTGGGAAGAGCAAACACAGGTGATGTCTGGTGGCCAGGAGTAAGCCATGATGATGCCTTTCATTTAGGAAGAGTTGGTGCTCCCCACACCCCATTCCAGCCCCATCTTGCTGCTCAGCCCTCTGCTTTTTACTTGCCTCCTGGTGTCCTCTTTGCCTGTGTGTCATCTCCGCCACCTTGTCCGGCCTCACTCCTACCACTGGCTTTCAGGTCTCAAAAGAGACATCCCTTCCTCCAGGAAGCCCTTCCTCACCCCCAGGCTGGGTCAGGCATCCTCTCAGGGCTCCCCATCCCAGCCCTGGTTACTCCATTAAAGTAGGGGGATGGGGGAAAGGAAGGAGGACATCTTCAAACAAGAATATAATAAAATAAAATTGAGCATTGGATTTACATGGGCCAGGCACGGTGCTTAGCACCTTGTCACCTGTCTGACATCCTTTCCCACTGTTCTCTCTCTTACACACTCCTCCCAGACACACTTGGCCTCCTGGCTCTTGCACCCAGGCACCAGGCCCACATTAGTCAGCTAATCTATATAACAACTTGCCCTCAAATGTAATGGCCAGGGCTTAATGTAAATTTAAATCGTTACGTGAGGTTGGTGGTGATTGTATCGCACAGCAAAGACAATGATGTAGCTTTATGATTTGTCAAAAACTATACAGAAGAGATAGATGTTCATGCTTTGTCAAGAAATCTTTAAGGAGAAAAAATAATCTTTAAGGAGCACTTTATGAAATAAAGAAGTGGGACAGGCTCTAGCCTGTTAGCTCAGTTGGTTAGAGCGTCATCCGATATGCCAAGGTTGCAGGTTCGATCCCTGGTCAGGGCATATGCAAGAATCAACCAATGATGCATCAGTAAGTGGAACAACAAACTGATGTTTCTCTCTCTCTCTTTCTCTTCCTTCCTTCCCCCTCTCTCTCAAGTCAATTTTAGAACAAAAACCGGGGCAGAAGCAAAGGAAAATCACTCTTCAGGGTTGTACCTCGACAAGGCCACACGGGTTTCTGGTAGATGAAGCCCTGTTGGAAACGATCTCACAATCCACGTCAACACACAGGAGGAAAACAATTTACCATGAGTTAGAATCAGCAGACACAGCAAATTACAGAAGTGCTGGCCCCAAAGTCAGATGATCGAGTTAGCAGGCGTATACTATAAAATTACTATGCTTAAAATGTTTAAAGATGTAAAAGAAGAATCCAAAACATGAAAAAGGACCAATGCACTACCAAAAATAAAAAACAGGTGTATTTGAAAGAGGAAAGATTGAATTTACATGAGGGACATCCCTTCGAAAGAGGTGACTTTAAGGCTGCTTTGCCAAAAATAACAGTGACAATCACTTATTAAGTCGGAATGGAACCCAAAGAGAAGGAAGACAATATCTGTGCAAACTACCTTTATTTATAAAGAAAGTGTCCCCATTTTGTTATAAAACCAGCACTGTGCGAAGGCACTTGGTCAGGGAAAGCAGGGGCAGGGATCCTGGTAGAGAGACCAGTGTGCCTCCCCTGGTCCCCAGAGGTGACTCCCAGGTAAAGCCACTGGAGGTGGCCCATCCCACTGGGATGGCGGATTGACTTGCTTTGAGGGGCTTGGGAAGGGGCTGGCTGTAGAGGTGGGGGGCATTTTGGACAGGATCTGACTTGGCAAACGGGGGGTCTCTCTTGCCCCCAGTGATTCCCAGCCCCACAATGACCTCCCACAGCTAAGGCAGGTTTCTAAACTTAAGGCTGAGGTTCTCCCCTGGGCTTCCAGGGAAGCAGAGAGCTGGTGGCGAGGCTCCCCCCTGCCAGGCTTGGAGCACAGGGCGGTGCAGCAGCGATGGAGCCGGGGGTCTGCAGCGAAGGCGAAGCTGCTTCCTCTGGTCTCCCTTGCAAACGTCCTCTCTCCAGCTAGACCTTACTCCTCTGAGCCTTCACCCTGGGGAAGAGCTGAGGACAGACAAGAGTTTCAGACGCCAGGAGCGCCCACCCCCTCATTCCACCCCCAAACTTTAGGAGTCACCTATCCACCCCAAACACGGGACAGTCTCCACCACCCCACTTCTTCCTATCGACCATCTCAGCGTCTCCCAAACTGCTCTGGAATGCCCAGGGTCCCCTGTGTCCTTCGGGCACTGCACGGAGCCTTCCAACCAGCGGCCTGGTTGATGAGACCGGAGCTTCTGAGTGTCCCCCACACGGCTGTCTGGTGGGGACCCACCTCCACCCATCCCCAAATCAAAAGAACCTCCTTCTCTCCTAGATATAATGGGATCTTCCTGATCTCTGCAAACCTAGTTGCATCTCCCTCAATTCTACCACAATTTTATTAATGGATTCTTTCTCACCCTGCCCAACTCAGTGTAATAAGTTTCTTCACTTATAATGTAACACTTTAACATTCCCCCCAGCACTAAAACGTAATTTTTCATCTCTCCCCTTAGCTAAAATACATTATTTACTTCCCATTAACATCATAAGGGCTGATAATAGAAATATCTGAGCATGAACCAATCAAATGACCAGTAAGATAGTATTGATACAGATCCCACGAAGTACACGAGGCTCTCCCTTGGCTCCCCCATTACCACCATGGGCTCTTCCTCACCTCTCCAGGCCGATGTGGACTCTTCTGACCCCCCTTCCCTCCACTTAATGGACTGTCCCTCTCCTCATCTTTTTCCAGTGGGATCTCCCCTCTCCCCAAACAGCCATCGGGAGGCCCCACAATATCTCTGGCTCACCCCGAAGTAGTTGCGGGGCACGTAGCCCTCCTGGCCGTGCAGCGCGGCCCACCACCAGTCCGTCTCCTCCGGCCCGTCCCTGCGCAGCACGGTCACCGACTCGCCCTCGCGGAAGGACAGCTCGTCGCCGAACTCGGCGCTGTAGTCCCAGAGCGCGTGCACCACGCCGCCGTGCATCAGCCCCATGCTCTGCTCCACGTCTGGAACCCGAAACGCAGGGACCGTGAGGGCCGGGCCGGGGGGCCGGGGGCGCCCAGGGGCACGGGACCGCTGGGCTCAGCGACAGCCTGGGATTCGGCGCCGGCCGCAGCTGGGGGATGAGCCACCTGAGCTGGGGTCAGCTGCGGGGACCCGCAGCCTCTCAAACTGGAGCATGCTGGGGTGCATCAAGCTGGCCGACCCCCGAGGCAGGGCCAGTGGTCCCCATTCCCTCTGGGACATTAAGTCCCCGTGTCACTTCCAGAGGTACAGTCGTCTGCACTTCCCACTTAAGTGGTGCAGCCTCCACCGAGGACTCAGGCGCTCCTTCGGGTGGATGGCCCTACTCCGCCGCCCCTTAAGTGACCCCATCTCCCCATTTCCAGACGGCGCGGTCTGCACCGTTCCACCCCCCCAAGTGGGGAAGTTCCCAAAGCGGATGTAGTGACCTCTCCAGATGGCACAGCCCACCCAGGCCCTCCCCCCTACAGTCAGCGATGGTCCCCCTCTTTAGGGGTTCAGTCCACACGGTTCCAATTTCTCCTCGGCTCCCTGCCAGGGGCGCTGTCCAATCTTCACCCTCACAGCACCCTCCGTGTTGGAGACACCTGTGACAAGGGTAATGGCCCACCCCCTCCCCAAAGGCTACAGCCCTTCCTCTCTTCAGCTGTGTGGCACAGCCCCCCTGCCCAGCCCCATCTCTGCCAGGTAGGTGGTAGTTAACCCCCGCAGGTAAGAAAGCGGACGAACTGAGCAATGTCCGGGCCACGTTTCTCCCCACGGGTGCCCAGCTTGCACGGCACAGCTCCCATGGTCC